GTCAGAAACACTCTTCAGCCCTATGCCGGCAGCTGCCCACACACAAACACACGGATCTTCACTCCTGCAAAGCAAGTCAGCTTCTGAGGCAGCAGCTTCGCGCGACGGCGATGCCTCAACCAGCAACAAGTAAGATTGTACTTCAACTCAACTTCAAGCGAGATTATGAAATATTCCCTTACCGAAGCCCCTAGCTGCTCTTGCTGACATCTGCCCCCGCAACATACCACTTTCCCTGCAAACACATCACCTGATGTCTGCCAGCTGGCGTGCCTCGGTTCGCCGTCTGAAGGCCTCGAGCAGGCACCGCGGTCAAGCTTCACTAGCTCAATAGCTTTTACATGCTGTCGAGCCGCTTGCGAGCTCAATGCCTCCGACCGCATGGGCATGTCAGTGCCAGATACAGGGAGCGAGGACCTCGCAAGAGCAACACTGGCACCACTCTTAAGCGTCCCATGCATCCCAAGCACGCCCTCACCCGGGCCTGAAGCTGCTCAGAGGGGCACTTGCCTGCTTGCGCTGGCACATCGGAGGCTCGCAGCTATGCTGCGCATGCCAACTCCATGTGCATCAGACGGAGCCTCACCCAGCTGTTGTGCCGCCACCCTCGTCGAAGCCGAGTGGGAGCGATCTGACCTGGAGTAGACGACGTCTCTGCCCACAGTGACTAGGACTAGGCTCAGCCATATGTTCCAGAACATCGTCTGCAGGTTAGCAAGTCCAGAACCTTGGCAGCACCTCAGGCGATGTATCTGAAGAGGCCTCACCGGAGCTGCAACGAGGCCATGTGGTGATTCGGGTATGTTTGTGTTTAACATGACATGAAAGAATTGCGCATAATCATCAGACGGCATAATCAGATGCTGGCAGGGTGCAGCAACGGCAGAGGTTGATACCGAAGCAGCATCAAGTGGCACCGTCATCGTGTCATTCGGAGTAGAGCCCGATCGAGCAAGTGAGCGACCGAGAGTGCACTACAAACCACTTCTCGAAAGTGCTGAATTCAAGGCGGCACATCCTGCTGAAGGAAATACGTCACGAGCATGATGCCAACAGGCGGTCCTGATGCCGAATCGCAGACGTGGTCGTGACCCTGTCAGAGGATTCGACTCTGCCGGGATTGGCTTCGGCACAGGCTTGCTTAATGGAACGGCCTCACTACTGCGGCTCTGGTGCTGATGCATCTGATGCATGCAATGTGAATGAGAACGCCTGGACTTATCAGAGTTCAGGAACCTAATGGTATAATGCCACCGTGCCTTGGCTCATGTAGCTGCGCCTGGAGCTGAGGCAACACAGGTGCTAAATCATGCACCAACATGTTTGAGGCATCGACAGTGGTGTCCGCAGCAGTCCAAGAGGTCTGCACAGGCACCGTCACAGACGCTGCCCAAGACCGCTAGCTACGTCTCGGTGCTACAGCTGTTACGTTTCACGGATTGGGCCTGCTGAGGTTGCGCAAGCGCCTCTGCACGGAGTGCAGCCAATGCAGTCGCAGGCGCACTGTTCCTGGCTACGCCGAAGGATGCCGTTGCAGCGTTGTCGCGATGCTCGATCGCCAGGTTGTCCTTCACCTTGCCCTCACTTTGTGGGAGCGGGGAGCTTTCGAGCCCTAGGGCCCTGATGTCATCTTCGAGCTTCGCCTGCGCGGCTGCTCGTTCCGCACTCAAAGCATTGTAGCTCTGGTGCATCGAAGACTTCCTTCTTGCACTGCTCGGAGTACTTGGGCTTCCATCCTCCAAAGATGACGCGGGAGTCTGTCCAGTGGCGGGGCCATGGACTCCATGGACCCATCGCTCCGGCTCCATCGGCTGTCGCTCTTCGGAGGACGGCCGTTTCACGCCTTCCAGGAGATGCCTCGCGTGGGCCGTTGCCGTGGGCTCCTGGGCAGCTTGGGCCGCCTGAAGCCGAGGGGAGCTCAGGACCTGGCTGTCATCGCTGACTGACAAATAACCGGCGTTGCTGAGCCAGCCCTCGAGTGCTTCCTTTTCCGCCTGCAACCAAGTCAAACGACTCATGGCAGCTTCTGCGAAGGGAGGCAGCTGTGGTTGGGATGCTGAGGGGCTAGTCGGCAGAGGCCCAGGATAAACCCCAAAGGTACTTGCCCATGGTGGCATCTGCTGGGCTAAGGGCTGCGTCACTGGCTCCAGACCATCTCCCAATGTGGGCTGCCTTCTGGGACTCGCCCGTGCGGGGCTGGCGGGGGGCCCCACCGCAGGAGCGCGAGAATGGGCAGGAAAGGACCTCAAAGGCCGATGGGCTTCAGCCGAAGCCCCGAGACTTTCGTTCAAGGCCTGCGTCTCTCGCCACACTGCAATGCCCTCCGTCATTGGCTGTCCTTCGTACCGTGGCGACAAGGGCCGCTCGCAAGACGAGGCAGCTGTGGACCGCTTCGTCTCAGAGGGAGAGGTCGCCGCAGTGGCAGCCGTGGCCTTTGTGGAAGGAGAGGCTTGAAGGCTCTCGCGGAGAGTCGAGCCAGCCTTCCTTGACCGTGCAAGGCGCCGTGAACTTGTCCGTTGAGCGTGGCCTTCTTGCGCTTGCAAAGACAGCCGGCTTGCCGAGAGCTTCTCCCGAAGTTCTTGCACCTGTCTGCTGATGTGGCTGTTCGCCGAGTTGCTCAGAGATTTTTCCGGCGTTAACCCACGGCCGTTGAGTAGCTGTCCGGCATCTGCGCCCCTCAGAGCCCATACCTGCCCGGTGCCAGAGCAAGAGGCATGATATGCACCTGTCTGTTGTATCTTCAAGGCCTATGTTAGTTTCTTCGAGCTCCATGCAAAATGCAAGCTTCAAAAAGCTGTAAGTAAGCGCAGCTATCGTTCCACTGTAAAGTGCATACACCTCGGCCAAGTCGAAACAAGTCAACCTCTCTAGCAAAAGATGGGCCAGATGTACCGTCTCTGGCCCTGGAGTCTAGAGCTAGAGTGGAACTGGCTTCTTAGCCGTTCTCTGAGCTCTAGGTGGCTCTCGCGCAAATGATAAACGATAAGACGTAAAGTTTCCTGATCTTGCAGTCTTGATCTGCCCATGTACATGTCTTCTGCATTGTGCACCATTTACTTGTGGTACTGGAAGAAACGATCTGCTCCACCGTTGTTACTTGAGTTAGCCTCGCACATGAGCTAGAAAGACGCTTTCTGCTAACTGCACCTGCCAGGAGCTCATGTCGGCCCGCTCTGCTGCCACCATCGGACCGCGGAGACGTACTCGGAGCTTCTTGCTTGAAGGGTCTCTTACTCTGTCCCCTGACAATGCTGTCGACCGATCTGATACCGACACTTAGGATGATTCAGCGAAGCCTTACTCCTGAAGATCGGGGGCTACATTTTCCTGTCCTTCTGAGCCACAATTCCAAAAAGGCTCTCAGGACTTGGACCTACGTGTCGAAAGCTTCACGAGGATGGGCTCGCTGTGGCGGAGACGCTGCGCGGAGCGCGCTGCTCCTGTGGCACAGCCAAGAAGAACTCCAGACCTCATGGATCGCTGGGGCCCCTGTATATCTGCATATCCCTGCATGCTTCAGGGGTCAGGGTCCTGCAAGTTTGAGGCCGAAGCCTGTGAATTTGCCAAGCCGCTGGATCACGGCGTGGTTCTGCATTGTCAACTCGCGCCTGGAGACACTTACGAATCAACTACCGGCTGCTGATTACCGTCATTGAGTGATTTCAGGCGCGGACGTGGGGCACACACAGAGACCCTGCGGGGCTCTCTTGTTGACGTCAACGTTCGCCAGCATCTGGCAGGAGGCGGGAGCAAACGGGAGGACCAAACAATGTTGCATACAATGCCAGCGGCATGTCTTTTCCCAACTGCTCCATTGCAATTGCAATTGAGCAGATGCGTCGGCAAAGCTGAGGGTGCCACTGCCAAGGCAAAAGCTGCGGTTTTTCCACTGCCATTGCGGGCCTCAGACATGCATGAAAGGCCTCCCCCTTCGCATGACATCATGAAAGCTTACGGTGCCGGCCTGCCCAATGATGTTCCGACCCTTCATCGCAATGGGCAGGGCCAGACCCTGAATCTTCGATGGCTTGGTAAAACCCATCTCGAAGATACCGTCCATGATCTCCTGGGCCGAGCTTCAGCTGCAAACCCCAAGAGGTGCTATCGGCATCGGGGACTCCTTGGACAGTTTGAAGTCATCCCAGCAAGTCACCGGGGTGGCGTCCGTAGAACCATCCTTCCAAGAGGCATATTCAAAGCGCTAGCAGCAGTAGTAGCAGTAGCAGCCGTAATTGTAGTACTTGTAGTAGCAGTAGCAGTAGCAG